TAACATTATAAGTTTATTAGATCTTCTTAAAACCATTCCACAGGGGAAAAAAAAATCATTCCACAGTTGTGAGAAAACAATTGTTTTATCATATTAATCATACTTTCCACCATCATGTAGGTCACTTCAGGGTTCACATGGGGCATTTAAAATTACATGTCAAAATAAACTCCTTAAAGATGTACATTACTAACATTTAAGTCCACTGCAACGTTTGAGATTTAATCAAGAAATAGTGGGTGGGGAGGGAAAAGGGAGAGTGGATCACTTAGAGTTAAATGTGCATTTGGCCTTTTATGTGTCCTGGATCTGGTAAAAACCTCAATTGTGTGACATTTATTGCAAACAAAGAGACCATAGGTTTCTAACCAAGTATCATAGGCTACATATAGAACCTTGGTGGTGTTGGTTTTTCTAATACCTCTAAGAATTTTAGAAATAGTAGGTCCCATTAGGAAAGCACCTTTATCATGTATATTATGTCATTGTAGCTAAATATATTTTTTTAAAAAAGAAAACAAGAAAGCACGTTTGGGTAGCCCTATAGATTTTAGAACTCTTTCCTCCCAATTTTGATCTGCAAAGGAACCAAATGGCCAATTTCACCAAAGATCTCAAACTTAAAAAAAAAAAGATTTTATGTATTTATTTGAGAATGAGTGAGAGAGACCACCGAGGGAGACGAAGAGGGAGAGGGAGGAGCAGATTGGTCACTGAGCGGAGAGCTCGACGCGAGCTGGATCCCAGGACCCCAAGATGATGATCTGAGCCAAAAGCAGATGCTTAACCAACTGAGCCACCCAGGTGCCCCTCACACTTCTTTTTGGAACTAAGAACCTGATTTCTTTTTCTTTTAATTCAATTTTTTAAAAGATTTTATTTATTCATGAGAGACACACAGAGAGAGAGAGGCAGAGACACCAGCAGAGGGAGAAGCAGGCTCCCTGTGGGGAGCCCAATGTGGGACTCGATCCCAGGACTCCGGGATCACACCCTGAGCCAAAGGCAAACGCTCAACCACTGAGCCCCCCAGGAGTCCCAGAACCTGATTTCTATATACATCTTCAATAAGTAGGGCAAGGGTGATTATAGTGATGCAAATTCAACGTTTTTGTTGTTTGTTTTTTTTTTTGAATGAAAACTCCGCCCCACCTTCCCCCCAGCCAAAAAAAAAGTGGGGTGGGGGGACACCTGGGGTGGCTCAGTTGGCTAAGAGTCCTACTCTTGATTTTGGCTCAGATCACGGTCCCAGGGTCATGAGATTGGAGCCCCGCTTCAGGCTCCGTGCTGGCTGTGGAGTCTGCTTAAGGTTCTCTTTCTCCCTCTTACTCTGGCCCCAACCTCAACTCCACACACTCTCTCTCTCATTCTCTCTAAACAAAACCAAAACCAAAAAAAAAAAAAAAAAAGAAAGAAAAACCCAAAAACTCCCATCAGTTAGTTTCCACTGGGAGTTCTGCTCAAAAACAGCAAACATGTCATATAGCTCTTGCCCTAGAAACACCACCTTTAATGCCATGGGGCCAACTAACAGACCCCTGTAAATCATAGCTTGGTTAGAGGAGTTAAAAACAGACCTAAAACACTATCAGGTTTAATACGCTACACATTTTTCTCTAACACAAACTGATAGAACATGGTATTTTTCAAAGCCTCCCACACAAGCAATTAAACACACACGCATACGCATGTACACGCACATGCTCAATGTACTCAAATCCACATGTGGAGTTTCTAAAACAAATGAATTTTTCAACGATCAAACATTTAACCATTCCAAATCGGGGATTTTCATAAGCATTTCTCCCAGTTGAATCTATTAAGCAATCATGCAGCAATGTCACTGAGGAAAAGTCACTGAATTTCTGCACTAATATCATGCATTTATTATTCTGGTTTTTATCAATTCTAATTTTTGCACAGCAGAATTCCTTCCCTCCTTGGGGCTAAGCTTATTTACAGAACAAATCACACAGTGGATCTACTTGGCTCAGCTGAAATGTTACGTCAAAACGGACACAACCGCTCCGATTTTAAATTTCAAAACTATTTTTACCTTTTGATTTTAAAGTGTAACATTAGAAACCTTATCCAATTAAAGAAAAATCGACAAAGTTATTAGCTGACTTCATCTGTAAAGAGCGACTGGACACACTTCGCAAGAGGCAGATGTTTTTTAAGTTTCACACAAAAAATACCACCTCTGTCAAAGCGTGTGGAGCTCAAGAAATCCAATGTGTTAGGTAAATGCAAGAAATGCCTTTTGTCAGTTAAGGGTTTATAACAAACTGACAGCAACGAAAGACTTCCTGAAAAACTTCACCTAAGTGGGGAGACACTAAACCACCCTTATCTGTGTGCCCAGTGCCATGGAGCAGCTGTTCATCAGTTGATGCTGGGTGGGCATCTGAGACCTGGGCCCCCGAATAATCAAAGTTCTGCCCCAATAGGGAATCCGCCCCTCCAAAAAAAAAAAAATCATCTGGAAAGCTTAATGTGGTTCCCTATCTAGTTTCAAAGAGGCAGGGTTCACCAGCAGAGGTGACTAACACCAATCGTGCGGGATGGAAAATGAGCCTGGTAAGTAAAATTGCAGCAATTTTGTCACCAGAAAAATGGGACTTCAGAGACATCTTTGTAAGGTCAGTGACCCACAGCCTCCTTGACCTTGAAGCCAGGGAAAGACAGATGCAAATGGCACTGAGCTTTATAAAATTCCCCGCTCCCAATAGGGCTGCAGTGAGGCCTGTGGAGTAGGCCGAGGCCATGGTCTGCTGTTACTGGTCCGCAAAGAGGTGAGGTGCAGCTGACAAGAAGCATTTAGCAGGAGCATCCGGACAGTCTATCTATGGAATCTCCTTAAAAAAAAAAAAAAAAAAAATTTTAAACTTGGGTTTTGCATACATCATTATTCTTATTCAATTCACTTTCCTAGTGATAGGTTCTTACCGTATTTTGTAGCAAGGATTGATCCCGAATAACTTGGAAAATTAAAAAAAAAAAACAGGTCCTTTCCCATAGACAGTTTGAGAAGCACTGCACTAGAGCACCCAAAAATCCAGTTTTGGGTGGATAATATGCATATTCGGCTCGTAAGAATACTGATTTACCTGTAATCGTCTCTTAAGTTACTTGAATATTGAGATTTTTCAGAAGCAGGTAATTTTGCCCATGTGCGATATGCTAAGCTCCTCTGATTAACATCTGAATTAATCTAGAGCTATTTGAAATGCAGGCCAATGAGATACCATATAATCAACACTGTACTGAGGAAGGGAGACGTTAATGAGTATGATTCCCTCAAAAAAAAAAAAAAAAAAAGCTAAGTTCTGTGGTCAAACAAGTTGAGCTGTATACCCCATCCCACAGCCTCCTCCTGGCACATTAAGAATCTTGACAAGGTCTGTAGTTAAGAAATTCGTCTGGCAGGGGATGCCTGGGTGGCTCAGCGGTTTAGTGCCTGCCTTAGGCCTAGGGCGCGATCCTGGAATCCCAGGATCGAGTCCCAGGTCCGGCTCCCTGCATGGAGCCTGCTTCCCTCTCCTCCTGTGTCTCTGCCCCTCTCTCTCTATGTCTGAATAAACAAATAATAAATAAATAAATAAATAAATAAATAAATAAATAAATAAATAAATAAATAAATATAAATAAGTAAATAAGTAAATAAATAAATATTCTTAAAAAGAAAGAAAGAAATTTGTCTAGCTCCACAGATATGATTTTAAGGATCCTGGCAAGGTCTATAGTTAAGAAATTCATTTAGCTCCACAGATATGACCCTCTTGTTCTTGGAAATGAGGACAGAGTTAAAAGTCTCCAGATTAGGAATCCAAAGCCTTGAGTGTCACTTTTCTGTCTTCATCTGCAGCTGGATCATGCTACCCCTACCCCGTAGGGCTGAGTTGCAGCACCAACGAAGTAACTTGTAAAATGACTTCACAGAAGGTCAGCTCTTTGAGGACAAGAAACTGGCACCCCTCCTTTGTTCCCACAGCCCCTCCTGCACCCCACACACACACACACACACACACACACACACCACCACGAGCACTCAGCACAGTTACTAAGCTATCCCCTAGGGAATGTTCCAGATTGTCTCCTAATCCCTCACCTCCCAACACACACCCAGGATGGCTAATCCCAATGGTCCTGTTGTTGACCACTCCCCTGGAATTCTGTGTCTGTGGAGGCCTCCCATCCCCTGGTCCCCTGGTCCCCTGGCTGGTGTGGTGTGTCAGACACCTGCTGTCCTTCCTTGGATGTGCAGGTGGGCCCTAGAGTAGAGCCAGGAGGGTGCCCTGCACGGAGCAGAAGCCCCCCAGCTGGCGAGCATGCTCCCTTGGCCTCAACCTCTGTGCAAAGCCATTTCTCTGAGATGCTGCAGGGGCCACAGTCCAGCAGGGCAGGACTCAGGTGTTCAGGTTCCCACGCCCAAAGCCATCCTCCCGCCCAAACCACCTGCTCCCTCTCCCACAGTCCCCACATGCTTTGCAGGAGGGTCTCGTTGAGCTGGATCGATACTGCATTCGTCTTAGTGAGAGAACAATCTCAACACAGATGATATCACAGCCCTGGAAGAGAAAGCGCCCTAACAGAGAACTCATGACGGAGCCTGATAGCATCTCTTGCCCAACTAACACCACAATCCAGGTCCTATTCAACCTCTGGCTCCCCATTTCAACAATCAATAATAATACATTCCCCCCCCGACATGACAGTTATTTTTGACTTCTCTGGCTCCTCTGTTTGCGTCAACGGCAGCACCCGGAATCCGAGTGACCTCTGCGAGGTCGCGTGGTCAGTGAAACGTAGGGCAAGGAATTGGCTTTCGTGCACATTCTTCCAACCACCAAACCACAGGGTCTTTGTTAAGGTCAAAATCATCATGAAACATTATTTACATAGTACACAACGAGCTCAGAGCCGCAGCCGTTCCAAGCACGAGCCCCAACTTAAAATAATAAAAAATAAAAAGATAAGGGACTGTTCGTTTTACTCACTGTTCACATAAACATTAAAGGCCACCGAAGAATTGACATCGGAATTGGACACTTGAAATGTGTAAGTGCCTCCTTCGTTCCCTTTTAATCTGGTTAGATGAAGTTCACTCACATATCTACAAAGGATAAAATAGAAAAGAAAAAACCTTTAGGGATCCCTGGGTGGCGCAGCGGTTTGGCGCCTGCCTTGGGCCCAGGGCGCGATCCTGGAGACCCGGGATCGAATCCCATATCGGGCTCCCGCTGCATGGAGCCTGCTTCTCCATCTGCCTATGTCTCTGCCTCTCTCTCTTTCTCTCTCTGTGACTATCATAAATAAATAAATAAATAAAAATTAAAAAAAAAAAGAAAGAAAAGAAAAGAAATCAAGCTCTCGCGAACGGCCTGCCTCGGGTGAGCATCTTGTCCACAGTTTCTCTTGGAAACACACGCCTGTGGGAGGAAGGACCAGACTAAGCACTTAACTCAGTATTAACAGGATCCATGTTAACAGATACGAACCTATAGGCATGTATTTAATTTGGGCCCAATGGCTGAGTGGGGAGAGGCTTTCGTGGCCTTGTGGAGGCCGCAGCCTCTTTGGCCTCCTGGCTGTCCTCATGCCCAGGTCCCCCTCTGCCCATAATCCTTCCCCGGTGTCCTGAACTCACCCACCCTGCTGCCCTATAACGCTGTGCCCCTGGCGGGGCCCCCAGACGAGCAGGTGCCCACGTGGAGGACCCTCACCTTCCTTCTTGCAAAGATCATAATCGCCCAATTCTCCTTTCACCCCCACTACTTCCTCCTGGCATCCTTTCCAGTATGTGCTATTCAAGCTTCTGTTTTCCTACCGGGATGATACTAGATATGGCTGTGTAGACTGAGCCCACAGGCCTGCCAAGGGAGTTCCCGACGTGGGCACTGGTGTGGGTGGAGCGCCCTGGGCAGCCCTGGACCCGTGTGAGCAACATACACAACCGCCCAGATATACGCAGGGGCCTCTTCAGACTTTCATCTCCTCTCACAATGCACACGCCCCCGAGCGATCCACTCTCACGATGAACTCCTTGCTGTTTGCTCACAGCTTTCAAATCCTTACCTCTGGTTCAGAGCTCTCGGTCCTCGCCTCCTCTACAGAGCTATTTGCATGCCTGCATCTCCCTGCCTCATGGGTACAGCTTATAATGATTCACACCTGCAACATCCTCCCAAGTCTTGCCCTTGGACACTTGGCCCCTTTTGGACACTGACTGCCTCTCTAGGTCTAGGGCTGATGAGTGACTGCCCGTGGGGAGGGACAAAAGCTCTGGAGAGCGCCCCTGAGATCAGCCTGCCAATCACCCATCCATCCTTTCTCTCCTCCTTTACCCTTCCTGTCCTGCTCTCCCTCTCCCTCAATGAAGCTCTTGACCCAGAATCCCTGTCTCAGGCTCTGCTTCTGGGGAACCTGCCCTCGATACTTCCTACCTGAATGTCCACACTCAAGAGCCCGTGGACATTCTCAAATTCAACCAACCCCAAAAACTCATGGTCTTTGCCCTCCCAACCCTTCCCCCTCCTCCTTGAAAGACATCACCTCTCACCCTCCAACGTAGCTGATAAATACAGAATCTGAAGGGGTATCTTCAGCTCCTACCTCTCTCTCCTATCCCCTCAATCGCTGAGTCTTACTAAAGAGGTAGCCTGGATACCTCCCGAATCCATCCTCCTCCCTCCAGCCCCTGCACCTTGACCCAGGACAGCCTCACCTCTCACCCATATTCCTACAACAGCCCATAGCTCTTCACTGGGGAAAAAAAAAAAAAGTCTACGAAGGCATCCACTTCTGTTGGCCATTTGACCTTGGTCAAGTTACATCAAGACTCATTTGTGTCTCAGTTTCCTCTTCTCAGAAACGACAAGAATAAAAGTGCCTGTCCATGGGGTTTGTGAGGACTGAAATTATTGACTTAATATATGGAAGGTACTGAGAACAGTGCAGCGCAGGCAAGAGCACCTGCAGCCTACATAAAGTAAGCTACTTTTATGCTTTTGCTTTGTAGTTTTTATTATTTTTATTAATTTTATTTTTACTTACTATTTTCATTTTATTTTTTACTATTTTATGATTGCTACTGTTTTTTGTTAGAAATGTCTTGAGGATCAAATGAGAGATGTGGGGGCGCCTGGGTGGCTCAGTCAGTCAAGCATCCAACTCTTAGTTTCGGCTCAGGTCATGATCTCAGGGTCGTGGGACTGAACCCCACATGGGCTCTGAGCTCAGGGAGGAGACTGCTAAAGTTTCCCTCGGCTCCTCGCTGTGTGCGCTTGCTCTTTCTCTCTCAAATAAATTAAATCCTTAAAAAAAAAGAGAGAGAGAGAGAGAGGTGTGATGTCATAGAACTTGGAGTTCACTGCCTGGACCAAAGCTACTGAATGAATGAGGCTTAGTTTTCATATAGTTGGTTGTTTTACTTACTTACTTACTTACTTACTTATTTTTTATTTATTTATTTTTTATTTTTGAGACAGAGAGAGAGGACGTATTTATTTATTTATTTGAGACAAAGAGAGAGGACATGTGAGCTGTGGGGCCAGGGTGGGAAGGAGCAGAGGGAGAGAGAAGGAGAGAAGCAGACTCCTCACTGAGCCGGGAGCCCAACTCCAGGCTTGATCCCATGACCCTGAGATCATGAGCTGTGCAGAAATCAGGAGTCAGAGGCTTAATGACACAGGCACCTCTCTTTTTCTGACAGTTCTCATTGTTTATTTTTAAAGATTGTATTTATTTAAAGATTTTTATTTGCTCATCTGAGAGAGAGAGAGAGAGAGAGAGCACAAGCAGGGGGAGGAGGAGAGGGAGAGGGAGAAGCAGACTCCCCATTGAGCAAGGAGCCCAACGCAAGGCTGGATCTCACGACCTGAGCCAAAGGCTTAACCCACTGAGCCACCCAGGTGGCCCTGACAGTATTTTCAAAAAGGTTTCAAAGCACTCACTTTCCTCTTTCCTCTGAAAAATAATTTAATGTGTCCCTAGAATGTGCCATTCCCTGCTTTCGATCATCCTCCATATCAGAAATGTGAAAACTGATGCACAGACTTTTTGTGCGGGTTTTAAACACAACACAAAAGGCAACACTGGCCTGAAGACTCAGGAAGGAGCCCCACACTTCCTCCTATGCCAGGTGTCCTCTCACACACTTATGGGCCACAAAAATAGGATCTGGTAAGCGAAGGGAAGTGGGGAGAAATGTCTAATCCCCAGCGCGAGGCTCTTCTCTTACCTGATATTACTTTCGTTGTCAGACTTGGGGTAATCTTCCCATTTATCAGTGAAGGTTCTGTTCATACAGATCCACTGCTGGTGCTCCGGTTTGGGATATGCCTCATATTCAACAATCAGATCCACATTCTCTCCATCATTTACAAATATTGTAGTACTCGTCACGGGGAAGATATTAATGAATCCTTTATCTAGTTATAACAGAATAAAACAGGGAGAAACTATGATCCACAACCACACAACAGAAAACACAGCTTCCCCTTTGGCTGTAAGGATAGTGGACTGGGGTCAGGTATTAAGAATATTTTGACTTGCCATTGTACCTTTTTTGGGTCTTTTTGCTCTTGTAGAATCACCGTCATAAAGTGAGAAAGGACAGCCCTCAAATGTTCATTCTCCCACCTGTCTCTCAAGCAACTCTCTTAAAGATCTAGCACCATCTTGTTAAAAGTCTTCTAGAATGACTGGACCTGATGCTTCTTAGGTCAAAAAACTTTGGACTAAATAGTCATACCCAGACTCAATATAAATGTGATGATATGAAGGTGTCCAAAATCAAGATGAAGAAGAGATCCTAATGGTCAGTGGAGATGTTGAAAGAACACCATTTAGTATTTGAAGAAAAATAAACATCCATCTTCTCATCACATCATGTATCACAGATGAAATGAAGGACAGCACCTTAAAAACCCTACCGTATTTTTAACTAAACAGAATTAACTCCTATCAAACTTCTAGGTGGGGAGGGGGAAGGGCAGTTTTCTAGGCTTTTTAGGAACCACAGAAGAAAAAGAATCCTAAAATCATAAAAAATCCCAAGAATCTGAATATATAAGCTTTTTTTAAATGTCTATATAGTAAAAGTAAGGTAATAAGAAAAAGAACATGAAAATATAGATGGAGAAATATTTAAACTAGTACTTAAAATAAGTCGTCACTCTTCACTTATTAAAAATAGCAGAACTTCAATAAAGCTGCTAAAAAATAAAGTATATCCATCCTGTGGAAAAATAGGAAAACTAATTTGAAGGAAACTCAATAATTTTGCAAGTGTGGTAAAAGTAGCACGCCGAATTACACACTGTAAATTGGCACAACTCTTTCAGAAAGCATTTAGCAATATAGATTTTCTATAATTATCTATTCTCCCATTTAACCCTGTAATTCCCACTTGAGATCCCTTTTTAGTGGATAACTACAGACCAAAGGAACAGCTATCCACCCTGGACATAATAATTTTCAAAATCAGAGAACTGGTTTCTCAAGCAGCCCTTAGAAATGGTTATATAATAATAAGATAAGAAAGAGTTTGAAAAAAAAAGTAATAAAATTATTGCCAATATTAGTTTTATGGCCACCATTTATGGAATGTTTGCTATGTGCCAAGAACTGCCCTATGCAGTTTAGCATACACTCTAATTAATAATTACGGCAAATATATAATTGTATAACAATACTGAAAGAGAACACTTAGAACTCCTAATTGACACATGAAAAATATCCAGTCCTGGAAAACTAAACGGTTAGCTACCCAAAGGCAGAGCCCAGATCGGAGTACAGGTTCATGAGAAGCCAAGGCTGGCCTCTTCTTACAGCAGCAAATTCCCTAGATTCTCTACTTTCAGTTCGAGAGAGAGAGAGTGACATCTTTTGTGTAACTGAAACCCTGCTGCGTGCAAAAATATAATCAATTTACCAAATCTTTAAAAACAGTTCTATCACATTAGTGGAAGGGTTTTCACATTTTATTCTTCCATTTCTTTCCCCAAATTTAAGAATTATAAAATTTAAAATTATTCATTATTTTTGGCACTACTCAGTTGAAAATGTTAAGGTCCTACATGAGTTGTCGTTCTAGTATTTACTGCCCTTTAGTTTCCTAGAGATTCAGAATAAGAAAAGAGTCCAACTGCACCAATGAAAAGGATGTGTCACAGATGAGAATAAAAAAATCATCCGGGTGAAAGATGGAGATGGAAACCACCACCCTGTTCTAATGCCTGAATCATAAATGAAGCTCCCTCTGCCATTTTTAAAGCAAATTTAGATTTTCGGTTAATTTTGAAGGAATAAATCTTTCCTCGGAGTGCTGTGTTACAGTTTCAGGTTCTTAGGGTCATAAATTGATCCCACACAATGCAAAATGCTCAAATATTACGGACCACAATATTTGCACTGAAATGAGTTCCCTCATCATCACCATACATAAAATACTTAAGTTCCTCCTGAGTTTCCCAGAGTCCTTTGGCTCAATATACTTTTATGTCCTTCAAATTCATGAAGTATCAGAATTATTCAAATCAAAGAATTCCATCAGGGTTGTTTTTACATAAAGTATGATTTTTTTCAGGTACTTCTGCATTAAGAAATTGGTGATGCATTAGTATTTAACCAGTACAAACGCTATGTGAGGTACTTCTATGAAATCTATTGCCTTTTCTCCTCTCTATAACCTCTGCAGTTAGAGGTAGGGTTTCTCATAAGAGAAAATGCAGGTAGAGTTAAAGTAGGCTGCATTCAAAAGTTGGGTGGCACGGCCCCAACTTAAAACCAGGTGGGGACCATCCCAAAGCCACTCCACATGGTATCCAAATTCTCCTACTCCCAGCCCCCAAAGAAATTACTTTTCTCTTTGTCTCCTCCTGTTCGTGTCCCATCCCAACCCACCCCAAAACAATAAAAAACCAGATTCAGGTTTCAGAGCCACAAGCCTTTCCAGTTACACAGTCATATTCTTGGAAATTGATGAATGGATTTTAAAAATCTGATTACATACAATAATATGCTCAAAACGTCCTTACTAATTGCTTTCTGGAGCTGAAGCTGATATATCAACATGCTCCCTAATCAACTTAGCAAATTAGCACTTATGGAGTTTAATATTTTGAAAGCATAGCTTTCCATTCAAATTAATAAATGGTTCACAATCACGTTTAGGGAAAAAGTAATACTCTTTCTGCATGCTGGTTCTATCACTGCAAGTCAAGCGTGTTTCCCACGTTTAGTCTGGTGAGATGCTTTCCATTACAACATGGGCAGAAATGCCAAAATTATATGAGCTCATTGTGGGATAAATCACAGACCTCTAACACTGCTTCATAAATTATTGAGGAAACATGGGGGGAAGAGGAGAAATGAAAACAAGTATCACATCATTTTATTATGGCTCATGATGAAGAAATTTGCCACCCTACCAGTACTTAATCAAAGTCAAGCACAGAGACTGTACTTGCATTAAAAAAAAAAAACACAAGAGATTAAATTCAGACAATACTCACAAAACAAAAAAATGTGTAAATAAAGCAATTTAAAAATTACTCTTATTTCCAGTAAATCAAAAAACATCCAGTACATTCACTACCTTCTGCTCCCATTAAGTAAATCTTGGAAAATAAATATTTAGTGAGATTTCCAGAGTAGGGAAGGAAACTAAACCACTTGTGCATACCAGCTATGATGGGGTTAGGATTATAGGGTAACATGACCCAGTTTATGCTGTGCAGAACCAATGATTCAGGCCCCAGGGGACCTCCTTCCTGAAGGTTCACACTATGGCCTACACGGCTGGAGGATGGGGTAAAGTGAGCGGTGTCCTAGGAAGAAGCAGCCCAACTCAGCCCTTCCTGTGACAAATGAACTAGACCCATGAGTGGTAAAAAGATAAACCAAAGGCTCAGGTGCCCCCCTAAAAGATTCAGAGAACTACTTCAGGCTCTCAGCATCTGGACTCCTCCACTGAGAAAGTCCACACCCATTTCTAAACTCGAGTCATTCAGTAAAGACTCGAATTTTTGAAAAAAGTTCCACCTAACATCTTACTTGTTTAGTGGGGGGGGGAGGGATGGGAGAAAATGACCCATTTAAACAACTTCAGTTGCAAGTTTCCACTTCCTCTTTATTAAACTAGTGGAATTTGCTTTTGTGCTCTGGTTGGAAAAGGCGACAGTGATCATTTTCATTCATTCATTCATTCATTCATGTGGTGACAATTAAATTTCTAGTAATCTCTTCAACATTCTATTAGCATAAAAAGGAAGCTATCTAGCAATTTCTTCTTTCACTACTGCCAATAATTTATACATTCTGATAGAGACATTTACCTACTACTTCCAAGGTTGTTGTGACATTTGCTGATCCAAAAGTATTATTGGCGTAACACATGAACACTCCAGAATCATTAACTCTTGCTGAGCTGATAATCAACTTTTCCTGACGTTCAAAATTGAAGTCACCGCGATGCCAGCTATTACTCTGTGTCTGTGCATTAGTCTGCTGGTTTTGGAAAGAGAGAAAAAAAAACCAAAGATTACCATAAAATTTATATTCAGGATCTTTCCTAGATAAATTAAAAATAGCAGCAATTAACTTCTCCATATTAACATTCATTATACACTACTTAAGTAAGAATAATAAAGCATCATGACAAGTCTGTCATTGGAACACTTCATATTACAGGATTATATTGAAAGATAGTCATTATTAATGATTGGAAAAAACATGAAAATTCATTTCATGATAACCATGGCGTACATCATTCCAAATTCTCTGCAGCACTAAATATTTTAACGTGCCAAATTTTAGAAGTTACTATATAAGAAATATTACTGAATACTGATACTTTACATTTAGTCAGCATATTTAGGTCATATCAAGAACTCAAATCTCGGGATCCCTGGGTGGCGCAGCGGTTTGGCGCCTGCCTTTGGCCCAGGGCGCGATCCTGGAGACCCGGGATCGAATCCCACATCGGGCTCCCGGTGCATGGAGCCTGCTTCTCCCTCTGCCTGTGTCTCTGCATCTCTCTCTCTCTCTATCATAAATAAATAAAAATTAAAAAAAAGAACTCAAATCTTCCAGTTAATCAAAAACATCCAGTACATTCACTACATTCTGCTGTCATTAAGCAGATCTTAGAAAATAAATAGTGAGATTTCCAGAGCAGGGGAAAAAAGCGACACCAATTGTTCATAGTTAGGTCATATCATTATCTCTATATCCCAGTGATTGAAAGAAAACACATCACTATTAATAATATTCTATTTTATCAACATCTATATTATTTTCACGAGTAAAAATTGAACCACAATGTCTAAAACTAACTTGGAGACTCATCCTACAGTTGTTATCCAGTAGAATTTTGGCAACTATTAAAAAGAGTTCCAAAGTATGTGAGACGTCTAAGACCAAACCCCAAATTATTTAAGCATGAGTGGAAGAGAAAAAGTTGCAAATTTACTCTTGTGCTATCACCATTCTACTCGTATTATTTGCCTGCAGACAAGACACAGAGAGATTTCTTGTATGGAAAACATCATGGGAATAAAACATAACATAAACTATAGTCACTCTGAAAATATTAGAGGGAGTACTATAGAGCTTTCTGCAGCTTCCCAATTTTCGGTAAAATGAACACATTCCTACGGAAAAAAATAACAACTGAAAACAACAAACAACAAAAAAAGAAACAGGAGCTGATACTGACATGAAACGAGACCAAGGGTAATGCGCTGGCCAGGCTATGGTCAACCTATCAGCACGAGACCATTCTGACACTATTGTAAATCAGAACAATCCCTGTGGAAAGCAATTTGGCTGTTTGTTCAGACCCCTGATCAGTTCCAGCAAACTTATCTCAAGGAAATAACTCAATTTTTTAAAAAAGCTTCAAAATATTTACTGCAGTGAAATCTCAGAGATGACCTAAATGTATACCAAGTATCAAAATTATAAATGTGAAAATAAGAAAAGGGTTCATATTACTTAATAAGCATAAACCGAGTGTACCTTAAAACTGCAAACATGTGGTAATACATATGCATGGGAGCAGAGGGAAAAGAAATATGAAAAAAAAAGTGGGCAATATAGTATTTATAAAGACCAGACACACAAAGAATACTGAGCTCTTGGAATGCTTGAGGTCCAACCTGTGTTATAAATATAAAGTATGCCCCAGATTTTGAAGCCTTAATATGAAAAATAGTAGTGCAAAATAACCCATTGATATTTTTATGTTAATTACATTGATAAGATAATATTTTGGCTATACTAGGTTAAATAAAATGTGTCGATTTTACTCTGGCTCTGTCATGTGCCTACTAGAAAATGTTAATCACACAGGAGGCTCACATTTTATTTCCCATTGCACAGCACTACAACACGCAATGGTGGAATCATATCTGTTTCTTTTTTCCTCATGTTATTATATTTTTGGAAATTTTTTTTACGTTAAAGTGAGCATACATAAGAGCAGACTGCCAAAGCGGAATGTTTTGAAATAAAAAGAAGAGAAACCTGCTTTCTTAACTAACTGTGAGATCTTGAGCAAGTCGAGGATACTACTAGTCTCAGCTTTTGTTTCTATAAGGAAATGAGACGGGGGGGGGGCCTGGGTGGCTCAGTAGGTTAAGCGTCTGCCTTTGGCTCAAGTCATGAACTCGGGGTCTTGAGATGGAGCCCTGCGTCGGGCTCCCTGCTCGGCAGGAGTCTGCTCTTCCCTCTGTCTCTCTCCTTCTCTGTTTCTCCCTCCCTTGCTTGTTCTCTCTCTCTCTCAAATAAATAAAAGGAAATAAGAAAGCAGAGGTCTTTAAAGGCCTTTTCATTTTGAAGCACAATGCAGATATGAAGACACTCTCTTCCAAGAGATTCTTCTAATAATTGGCAGAAATCTGCCATTTCACTGCAGAAGAGCAATCAAGAAGATGCAGTAGCAAGGTGAGGGGACACTGTTTTGTCCTCTCCCGGTCCACCAGGTCACAGACTTCTCTGCAAAGGCAGAGTAATCACAGACAGCTAACATACCACATTCTAGATTTGTGGTATAGATATATGTAGCCCGAGGGTCTATGACAAGGAGCTAACCAGGAACAAGGAACACATGTCAGCGCAGGAAGGAATAGCTTGGTCCGATGTGATACAATATCAACACCTAAACCCAAAGACCTTAATTCAGGATGATGTCAAATAACATAATTAAAAGTAAAAATACAAGGGTTTAGAGGCACTAGGAAAGCTAACCAAGAGTCACGAGTGGTGAATAAACTCCAAGACTCTCTTAGGGTTTAAAACAAACAACTGCAAAAACTCTAGAGTAGTCATTTTATCCTAAATTTCTCTGTGAGTTTTAAACTTATTCTAAACGGTCAGAATCAAATACCAGGAATTTTTAAGATAATTTCATAGCGCTCACAGTGCTAAGTATTCCCAATGAAGCCAAAGGATATCAACAAAAGATTCACGGCTGAACCTTGGCATGGAGCCACGAGCCCCATCTGCAAGTCACACATTACATATTGTTTGCATGTGATTTGGTTTTCCTTAACCCTTGAGGTGCACACTGGGATTTCCCCAAAGAGCTCCCAACACTGAAAGCTTATCTAGCAGCGCCAGTGGATTAATTGGGAATGGCACGCAGGACTCCTGGGAAAAGTGGTTCAGAACAAAACTGCCTGGGGCAATTGAATTTCTCATGAAAAAAGGCTGATTTTCAAGTTATGCAGAGGCTCAAATACACACATGGTCTAAACTGTTCTCTCATCTGAAATCAAGGATTATGGAAAGCCAATTAATATAGGATTGCGTTCCGTAGGGTCAGTCAAAAATCCATACATAAGCTATTGTTTTTATTAAATTATATGATATGGAAACTAAAACTTGTTTCTTTAAGCCACTGGTCTGAGAGAACAAGACTCTAGTACGATCCAGTCTCTAGTCAATGGCAGGCTTCATCAGCAAGGTGTCATCCATCACAAGTCTACGCGAATACCATCATAGTACTTTGCATTATGCTAATCACCATGGTTACTTATGGAGCAAAGAATTCTTTAAAGAGGCATGAAATTGGCCATGTTGAATACAGAGCATGAGAAGGAAGAAGAAGAGGAGGAAGAGGAGGAGGAAAATATATCTTTTCTCCCATGCAATGCATACATGTGTTCTGAAGAAAAACCACTGTGATAGCAAATTACCTTAGATGGCCAAGATTATGCAAATAAAAATTACTGAAAATTCGGTGGATGGGAATTTTAAAGCAACATATTTGGGAAATTAGAATTTGAAAGACCTTGCTATTAATGATTATTTAGGGGGGGGGAAAACTTCATATAACTGGCTGAAATTTACTTAAGATACGCCTTCCACAGTATCTGACATATAGGAGACATTCAATATGCATTTGTTAAATGAATGAGAACTTAAACATGTCCAAATGTTTCAGATTAAAGATAACCATTTTATGAACAGTGACTAAAACAAATAGAAAACCATTAGCAACTTGATCTCAGGTAACCAGCCTCAGAGGGGAGAAGTCAGATCAAGAAAAAAGGAAACACAGCTCTCAAATGGATAGGCCACTTTGTGGGAAAGGAGGGAGCGCCCCGGTTAGTATCTGAGATCATTGACTGTTTTTAAATATGGAAGGGGGGAAAAATTGACGACTTTTCCCAATATTTTAAATCATCTGGCCTGGATAATTTTAAGAGTCTTAAAACTCAAGGTTAACGTACGTGGCTAACAAGAAGTGTTCTTAAAATTTTCCCTACAAAAGTCAAAGAAACAGCACACGGTATAGAACAGGAGGAGTCTGAAGTTCTCTCTTCGGTCTTCTCAAAATAAATTTACAAAATGACACGTATTTGTCGCTAATAATGAATACACACATCCACATATGGTGTTACGGAAGGGGGCAATGTGCATCTCGACATACGCCCAGACAGCCCCGCCTCAGACAGACACACCAGCGGAGCCATCCCCAGGATAATCAATGGACTGTTTTAAGGGGAAAACCTTAAAATGTCCCCCACAGAGAGAACAATGTATTGAGAAAAACAAAGGAAACAAGCCACTTACCTGGCTGTTTTCCTTTAGCCACATCGAGTCCACGAAACTAGACACATCTTTTATAAAGCACGTCACGGAGAAGGCTTCCCCTTCCTTCAGGAGAGAGCTTGTTTTGGACACTGACACGACGGGTACAGCTCTGAAGGCTAGAACAAGAAGAAACGTGGCCCTCAAATTATTTCTTCCACGATCATATGCCATTGTCACCTACTGCTTTTCCTCGAATGCACCCGACCTATTTGGGCATCTTTTAAATGAAATCTCAAGTACTGATCAATCTGTATTACTTGCCTATCTGAAGACATCAGCAATCCAATCTTGCATCCTTCAAGCAAATTCATTAATATTGAGCGACAAAAATAGGAATGTCTGCTTTGAGATGATAATGCTCCTGGCCAAAGCTATTTTGAAACAGGGAGAAGCCCTGGCACAGGGAAAGTGGCTTTAACCTTGATGGTTTCATGAGGACGTGACCTACGACTACTTACAGTCTTTCAACCAAACAGGCATCTTTCCCATGTGCCGTAGTAATAATAGCTTGCTCATTTCTGAAAAATCTCCATTTTTAAATAGTCGAACTTTCCTTAATCCCAATGAGCACCCTTTTTCAAAAGCCTCCATAAAAACCCCTCCGTAGCAGAATGTCACCCGGTGTGGAATTTGATGAGCTCGGAGACACAGAAATCCAGACATCTTCCGGCTACGAATTCGATCAACATAATGCCACGATGATAACAAGGGCCACACTCTGTTGGTGCTCTCCTCCTCAGACTGGGAATAAGTCTGGGAATGCATTAAAATCAAATCGCTGAGGAGAAACTCAATTCCTCTCTCAACAATAAATCAAGGGGTGAATAATGTATGTGCTAATCTTTCCCAACAGTGGAATCAAAGCTCCCCAGTGAGGTTCCGTCGGAAGCACACCTCATGCAGTCATGAAACTCTGGGTGTCCTGATGTTGTGAGGTTTCACAGCTGTCCCTTTGGGGGTCTACGCACCGGTTTCTGGCAGATGCACCTGCCAACGGTGGCCAACGGAGGCCAACGGCGGCCGTGCATTGGGGGTGTGGGGCTTGGGGCTACGAAGCAAAGAATTCACCGGCCACGGACAGTAGTTGGGAGCTGGGGAAAGTGATGAAGAGCCAGAGAGTAAGACAGACCAGGGAGAGGAGACAAGTCACCCCTCCATCAACAGATGCTCCGCCTCCCCACAAGAAAGAGAGAAAGGGCCCCTACCTGCCCTCACTTTCAGGGTGAATTTCTTGGACAGCACCGTCCTCCCCTTCTGGTCCGCAGAGCAGTGCAGGCAGAGCCGATGGTACTCGCGCTTCACGTTTCTGATCGTGATGCCAGCCTTGGGATCAGCAACAAACGTCAAGTCCTTGGGAAAAGGCTTCCCCTCGCACCCCCTGAGGGAGTAATTGGTCACTTCTGGGTCCGTCAGAGGACAGCGGACCAGCGTATCGTTGCCTTCTTTCCCATACAACGGAAGGTCTACGAGGAAAAGCTTTGCAGGATCTAAAGCAGATCAAAAATCAGTCGTCTGAGTGGCAGGCAGCAGGCACCGAGGACATTTTAAAAGATCACGGATGACTCCGCATTTTGTTCCTTCTTTGCAAGCAAAAGTAGAATTTATCCAAATACTACGAATCGAGTAACAGTTAACATTTGTTATACACTTCCCATGTGTCGGACACTAAGCTCGGACCATTACACTTTAGCTCATCTCATCCTCGAAGCACCCCGACGTGATGGGCACTATGCTTACCCCCGTGATGTGATGGGCACTATGCTTACCCCCCCCCCTTTTAGAGGTGAAGAAACTGAAGTCTCAAAAGTGACTCTCCTAAAAAAGTGACATGGCCCAGAAATGGCTGAGCGGAACTCAAATCCCTGCCCAACTGATACCACGATTTGAGCCCCTAAAACTCGGAGGGTATTTTACTGCAATAGTTCCTATTCTTCTACAACAGGGAATACTCAAGCAGCATGGGCCAAGACTAAGGCTGTGTGATGATACCCATTAGGGTCAGGGAAAGCTGATCTTTCTCTATCCTTCTGGTGGTGGGGCGGGGGCCTTTCCAGAACTCCCCGTGGCCAGGACCTTTCAGCTTCTGCACAGAGCCTGGGAGACCATCAGCCGGCCACCCTGTACAAATGTCATCAGGGGCCCCACTCTTCCTATTTCTTGAAAGATATGGATAAACATAAACTTCTGGAAATCCAATGAAGCCATATTCCCAAGGGGGGTCTTAGGAGTTTCGGGAATGCTGTGGCAAATACTTCATCATCCGAACCAGGACGCTTGTGAGTGAAGGGCAGTGCTATTAATAATTACGCCAGGACACCAGGTGTGGCCTGGGAAAGCCTCGGGCAGACTGGGACCTCCTATAAGCAACGACAAACCTCATTCTGTGCACACAATATGCGGCCACCCCTACCGTGTAAAGCTAATACAGACAGACGGTTGGGCCAACAGATCATGTTTAAAATGTTGTTTGTTTTTTTTTTTTAAAGGGCACTGAGGGGGGGCACTGGATGGGATGAGCACTGGGTTTTATACTATAGGTCGGCAAATCGAACTCCAATAAAAAAATATACAAAAATAAATAAAAATAAAATAAATTTCAAAAAATTTCTTTATTCATTGTCCATTCCACTTGGAATTTGGTGTCCCACAAAAAATCAATTTGACATTGGTGAAATAGATTTACCATTTAATTTTAGGGAAAAAAAAGATTCTAGGATGAGTAATTACGCATGTCCCAGCCTCACTCCTCTGTTCTCTGAATAAAGCACCTCATGAGGATAGAACTGAGGTCCGAAGCCGTCGCTGGTTATCATTCCATCTACTCTCTCTCAGTTGCTGGAACCCGGCTCCTACAATGCCCCAATCTCCTTCCCTGCTGTAACGTAAACTACTCAAGTATCCAAAACATCTCAAATCAGCAGTTTAGTGTAGCTCTGATAGCTCTGACTTACTGAGGAAGACTTCCCTTCTAAAAGAAAAAAAAAATCCATGAACTCTGCGAGACTGACTTGGCTACTAGCTTCCCCCCATTTCCTCAGTCATCTACCCACTGTATTCATATGCAGAAGGAGACTTCATTACCACCTGGAAATTAGAGTATCTTCTCGAATTCCAACGACCAGCACACAGGATACCTCCACAATTACGAGACATACCCGGAGGCTAAGCTGTGCCTTATCCATGGGTAGGTCTCAGTTTACCCACGTAGGAGAATAACAGATACACTAAGGAGAGGCAACCTTCCCTACAGCGAACACAAGGGGAGTCTACTTGATGAACCCTTGAGAGAGCCAGAATTTGCACGATTCTGGTCTCCTGAACGACGACAATTACACCAGGAAGACAGAGCAGGAGACTCTCAGGGTTCCGGTGAGAAACCGAGACTCCTGAGGTCCCTCAGACCTGCAATCTAGGACAGACGTATTCATTATTCCCCCACAATACTGTGGATGAGGCCTCCTACGTAGTCCCGTGTTCACTGGACAGAAACTCAGAGCCAGAACCGGGACCCTATTCTTCCTCCTAGGACCTGAGGATGCGTCTCCTAAAGCTCAAAGTCCTTGTTTTTACATCAACAGAAAGAGCCTCCTGCCTCCCATATATTAGCAAACCTCCTCTTGACAAGGATGTTCAGCAAACACAGGCGAATCACCGAGTTTATCATAGGAAATGAGGTGCGGAAATCCAACAATCGTAGTTTTCTTCTGTTTCCAAAAAGGTCACCATTTTGATTTGGTTCTTTGTTTCTTTTTCTTTTCTTTCTTCTTCTTTTTTTTTTTTTAAACGAATCAACTGACAACTATTAAAGAACCTAAGAGGGACATGGGGTGATTTAGCTGACTGGGTTGATTTTCTGGAATTTGCTCCCCTAAGAAGTGGGTCAATTCTTTTTGAAGTGTTGGTCTGTTTGGGCCTCCCGAGGCCTTTCGTTCCCTGAAGTGTTTTTACTAAGTGGGAGCATCTAGGATCTCAAGGCATTAAAATGAAGCTTTCCCAAAGGGCCTCATTTATTCTCAGGGTTTACTCAGAGAGCCAGGACAAATGGGCTAACCATATCGTAATCTCATTAGGAAGAGCAGCGCAGGCTCACACACCTTCGGCTGAAGTCACACCCACAGCCACGATGGATCAAGAGATGGGGCGGGGGGCGGGGGGTGACCAACAAAGAAAATTTTGTTTTAGGCTTTCTAGACCTAGCCATATTTTCTCTATGGCTCAGCCATCTCTATGTCACCCATAATTAAGAACAGGATATTAAGTCCTCTAAAGCATAGCATGAAAGAAAGCCACACATTTACCTCTGACAAACACATAAATGGACCTGCTCAAGCCATCTCTGTTGGTGCACGTGTAATTGCCCGTGTGGCCCGCCTCTGCCTTCTCTGTGATCCATTCGTTGTGTGTGTTCTCACTCAGCTGGCGCAGGGTCTCAAAAGTCCACTTGACAAATCCTGGATCGGTGCAGGTCAGCCTAAGCTCGTCGCCGACACTGACTATTAACTCTGATTTTGCTGGATGGATGGATGGGAAAGACGGTTTCCCCGGACGCACAGATGCTTGAGAAGGGCCTGCCAAGAAAAATAAGAATCGTGTTGAGTACGATCTTTTCCTTGGCGAAATAAAGCGACTCTTCCGATATTGATTTCCATCTTCTGTGCGCTCTACAATAAAAATAGGACAAAGTTGCCCCACTATTTACAGTTAGAAAGAGTTCTGTTTAAAGTTTCTTAAGTTCTTCATCGAGAAAATCATTTTCTGCAACTCTCCATTAATCCTGAGGGTCACACTTGGTAGGCAAGCCGTCCTTGCGGGATGCCACGCATGGCCCTTCTCCGGGGGAGAAACACAGCTGGGTCACGTTTCCACTCTGAATATGGGCCATCGAAATGGTGCTGACATGCTGACACCCTGCTCAGGAACAACAAAAACAAAACCCCACACTATTAAAAACAAACAAAAAAACCTGCTGGCCTGTTACCCTTCTGGCAAAATGTACGTGACCATGACATGGGTTGGCTGTGAATTCAGTTATTTGTGTGAAATTCTCCTTATACGGTGATGTTCCCCAAAGGAGAACTATTTAAGAGTCTCAAATAATAAGGCAGCACATGAAAATCCCATTTTAAAGATCAGACCATGAGGGCAGCCCGGGTGGTTCACACCTTCAGCCCAGGACGTGATCCTGGAGACATCAGGCCCCTGCATGGAGCCTGCTTCTCCCTCTGCCTGTGTCTCTGCCTCTCTCCTCTCTCTCTCTCTCTCTCTCCCTCTCCGTATCTCTCATGAATAAATAAATAAAATCTTAAAAAAAAATCAGACCGTGACATATCTCATGACATATGTTGGGCTGCAGCCTAATCAAACTAATGCCTAAATAGGCTTCTTAATATAAAGATGCAAACTTTAGACTCGGAGTATGAAACTTGAAGCTTAGAAAATTCATGGCAGTCCATTCATTCATTCATTCATTCATTCATTCATCCATCTGTTGCATGAATGCAAATGTGCCTGTTCCTTATTCACGGTCTGCAAGAGCTTCGAGCTGGGTGCTGGGGAAACGTCCACATAAGTGCAACACCTGGTTCTTACACGCACCCCAGAGTTTAGAGAATGCACTACTCACATGTCACAATAAGTGAAACGCAGCTGTTCTGGCTTCAAGCTGAAGAAGAAGGAAGAGGTGGGCTGGACCTTGACCATATCAGAAGAGGTGAAAGAGAAGACAGACACGGGCCGTAGATGTATACCACAGAGACCACACAGACCGTGCAGAGACACTCGATATTTTCCAGCAGAGAAGTGACATGCACAGTAAGATACCGAGATCCTCCAGATTCAAGGAACTCCGTGAAGAGCTCCAGGCCTCAGAGGTTGGCAGAAGGAACAAGACCGACAGTAAGGATCTGAGACTAAAGGAGCATTATTATACCATCAGAGGGAAAACACATTAATGGTTCTAGTGTAATTAAAACTACAAAGACTGACTCACATTCGACCTGGGTGAGTGAGTGGGAAGAAAGGGTCCCGGGGTGAGGTAGGCTAGAGCAACAGGGGGGGGGTGGAGGAGGAGGGAGCTTTCAATCGCTTCCGCAGGGTCATAGGCAAAATGGCATATCTATCCCCTCCGCACACATACAAGGTCGGAGACAAGAAGCGACCTGAGTTCTGATGTTGGAGTAAAAATCCTCCAATCCAGGCGGAGAAAGGAGCAGGTGGGAGGCAAAGGCAGCAGGTAAGCCAGGCCAGGAAGCTCTCCCCAAGTCTGGCATGACTGGGGGTGGGGAGACATGATCAGAAACGTGTGGGGCCAGGAGGGCCAAGAGCCCTGCTCTCAGGGGCTCCCGGGCCAGTGGATGGGACTTCTCACCTTATGACCTGCATTTCATATGGTGGAGGAAGAGCAAATAACGTGTGAAGTTAAAAGACAGGATCAGGGGACGCCTGGGTGGCTCAGGGGTTGAGCATCTCCTTTGGCTCAGGTCATGATCTTGGGGTCCTGGGATCTAGTCCCGCATCAGGCTCCCCCGCAGAGAGCCTGCTTTTCCCTCTGCCTACGTCTTGCCTCTCTCTGTGTGTCTCTCAGGAATAAACAAATAAATAAATCTTAAAAAAAAAAAAGGCAGGATCAGATAGTCAAGGGTGAGGGCTTGTGGAAGAAAGAGGCACACACAAAATACCAATCTTGAAGAGCTCGTCCAGCTAAGAGGGTGTAGATTTGAGATTTAAAAGTCAAACAACAATGAACAAGCTACAACAACAAAACCACCACCAGAAAGGAAGAGGGTGGGAGGGGAAGGCAACACATCAGAAGGTTTCAAAGAGAAGGTGGTGGGGACTAGGGCAGATGCTGAGCGAGATCAAGAGGATGAACAAAAGCGACCAAGGGAACAAACCGAATCTATTTGGTGAGAAAGAAACTGCAGGAAATGCAAGAGAACAATTTCAGGTGAGTGGGAATTTCCGTGTGCTCCCAGGGTCAGAGGCTCTACACGTAGACCTCTCTGTGAGAAGCTACGGCACAGGAAGGCACAGAAACAGATCTATAGTCAAAGGAGGTGAAAAGTTCCAGAAGAGGGGCGCCTGGGGGGCTCAGTGGTCGAGCGTCTGCCTTTGGCCCAGGGCGTGATCCTGGAGACCCGGGATCGAGTCCCACATCGGGCTCCCTGCATGGAGCCTGCTTCTCCCTCTGCCTGTGTCTCTGCCTCTCTCTGTGTGTCCCTCATGGATAAATAAAATAAAAATCAAAAAAAAAAAAAAAAAAAAGAAAGAAAGAAAGTCCCAGATGAGACTTGTTGACACGTGAGGACAGAAGAGGAGAGGGACACACCAAAGATGCTCTAGAGCAGCAGTGAAACCATCCCCTGCAGGTGCACATAGATGATGACTGGTCTCCATTCCAATTTGTTACCCAATATTTCATCTGGGCACCTTTCAACCATGGCTTCAATTGCAGCTCCGTGAGGTCATGCCAAGTACACCCCAGATTGAAGATACTCAGCAAACCTCGATTCGCAGAAGGTAACAACAAGGTCGATTACAATCATCAAACATTATTAAGCACCAATAACACATGAAGGGCTATAGGCAAGATCATCTGTCCCTTGCTGGGCTCAGCATCTAAATGCAGGGGGCCAGAATAGGAAACGAAGTGCTTGGGATTGTTTTCAAAGTCATATGCAGTGTTAAATAATGAAAATGGGCACAGCAATAAATGGAGACACTATTATGTCAATTATTTATCCCCTTTTAAAAAGGGAGTTGTTGCAAGGGAATAGCAGTGACGTTGACAGAAAATTTAATCCAAAAATCCTTAAAGAATTTATACTTCAAAACACTTCAATCAATTTAGCTTTCTCGGGAGGGGATCTTAAGGGCCATAGGTATTATGACAATCCAGCTGAATAACCATCGCCAACTTCTGGAGAAGGACCGTAACCAATGGAAGCTAAGCCTCGCTGCGTGACCTCAAAGGCAGGCCACTCTACTTCTCTGTGACCAAGTTTCCAGATCTGGAAAATGATAAAAATACCCTCATCTCATAGAGTCCTTATGGGAATCAAATGTGACAAATCCATGCAAAGAGCTTAAGACAGGACAGGGCACTTTGAAGATGTTGGCTTTCACACTGAGATGGTCGAGCATACTCAGTAAGAGCTTGGCTCTGGAGTTAAGACTCTAGATTTGCATCCTGGCTCTGCCAAGGAGTTAAGTGTGTGATCCTGAGGCGAGTTACTAATCAATTCTGTCTTGGTTTCCTCATTTGCAAAGTAGGGACAGCAACAGAACCTATTTCATAAGGCTGTCATACAAAGCACTCAGAACTGTTTCTATTACGTAGAAAATACATAATAAATGTTAGACACAATTATTCTAGAAACAGAACCTCTTATCACCCCTCCAGTCAGTCCTGACTCACTCACTTCCCATGAATGTAAACGGTTCCATCATTTCCCAAATGGGTTCCTGCCTGACTTCTGCCTCCTTGGCAGCAAATCCCAGCCATCTCCTCCTTTGGAGCCTCTGCCTCTCATCCTTGCCTGCCTTTCCTCTCCTGCTGCCCCACCCCAGACTAGCCACCTACTACCACCCAGACAGATGACATCTTCTCCTAGGAGATTTCTGTGCTTCCAGCTCATCAAACTCCCAACTCATCAAACCTCATGGCCCTGAGATCCATCAGGCCAAAAAAAAAAAAAAAAAAAAACTGTCCTTCAACAACCCCAGTCCCAGCTTCAAAAACCCTGTCAGAGGCAGCAGCAGCTAACACTGACCTCATGGATAGCTTACAAAGCACCTGCATGGGACTTGGTTTCTAGCTGCTTCCTCTGGACTTTTACCTCCCTCTCCAGTAAGACAGTCTTAGGCTGGCGGGCTAAGGAGCCTATAAACAATTCCATCCCTTCGTGGGCCCATCTTCCTGCCCCCATTCCCAACCCCAGAACACATCTACTCCACCAATTCACCTTCTTGCCATGTGGAAAGCCCTGTTTTCCACAGGCATTGGTCCCTAACCACGATCACCTGCCCTCACTAACTCCATCCAACATGTCCAGCACCATCACCCATCCGTTTGTTCTGATGCTCACCGTGTTCTAAATCTAAGTCTTACCTCCTCCACCTAACTCCAAGGATCCTAAATTGTATTTTCCCCCTGGCAAAGCCATAAAAACATACCCTTCAATCCCTGAACATAGAAAAGATCGGAGGAAGGACAGATTCCTAAATACCTAGCCCCTGTAACGGGTGTCAACAGTCCACTGACCTATCCCCAAAAGAGGACAGATGTCATTTCTGGTGTTCCACTAAGAAAAGGGAGTGGGGTTCTATGCATCCATTAAACTGCTATGGATGCTTCTAAAAAAGAGTCCTCCGAACTTGAGGTCATTGGTTTCTGCTTTACCTCTAGAGCTTTAGAGAATAAATTTTAAGATAATTGGCACCAAAAGATTAAGGGTTTTATTTTCAAAGTAAATTACTTATAAGTTCAACCCTCAAACTCATCCTATAAAATGAAAATAGAACTTATATTAGAATGGGACTCTAGGTATTATTTATTCTCTTTTTCCCA